CTGAACTAGGATTTGAAGAGAAGGATGGAAGTGGGGATGAGGCAAGGAGAGGATGGGAAGGGTGATGAGGAGTATTACAGTCAATGAAAATTTACTATACCATTGCCTCCTCCTTCTGCTGATGGTCCTCCTCCTCCTCATCCTCGCCCCACCTCCTGCTCCTCCTCCTCGCCCCTGCTGCTGCTCCTCCTCCTCCTGATTCCTATTCCGCCCCCTCCTATTCCGCCCCCTCCTCAGCCGCCTCCTCCTCCTCATCCTCCTCCTCCTGCACCTCCTCCTCTACCAACTCCTCCTCCTCCTCTTCCCCATTATCCTCCGACTCCTTCGTTTCATATGCCTCCAACTCCTCCTGCGCCTCCTCCTCTCCAGATCATCCGACTCCTGCTTCTCATCATTATCATCCGCCTCCTCTGCTTCATCGTCCTCGTCTTCGTCCTCCTCCTCGTCCTCCTCTTCCTGCTCCTCCTGCTTCTCCTCATCCTCATCTCCTCATCCTGCTCATCCTCCTCCTCCTCCTCTCATCCTCATCCTCCTCCTCTACCTCTTCCTCATTGCCCTTCCTCCTACCTCACCTCCTCCTCCTACCTCCATCCTCTCCGCCCCCACATCCTCCTCCTCCTCCATCTCCACCTCCTCCTCCGCATCACTTCGGGCCCTGAGCGGCAGAACAGGAGAATGGGGGAGTCAAGGAGCGGGGGGGCGGGGGAGCGGGAGAGCGGGGGGGCGGGGGAGCGGGGCAGCGGGAGAGTGGGAGAGCGGGAGAGCGGGAGAGCGGGAGAGCGGGGGAGCGGGAGAGCGGGAGAGAGCGGGAGAGAGAGGGGAGAGCGGGAGAGCGGGGGAGCGGGAGAGCGGGAGAGCGGGGACGAGCGGGAGCGGCGGGAGAGCGGGAGAGCGGGAGGGCGGGAGCGGGAGCGGGAGAGCGGGAGAGCGGGAGTCGGGAGAGAGCGGGAGAGCGGGAGAGCGGGAGCGGAAGAGCGGGGGAGCGGGAGAGCGGGAGAGCGGAGTGGCAAGGGAGCGGGAGAGCGTCGGTCCGCCACCCGCACCCGGGCACGGGTGGCCGTTTTCTCGCTCTCCCGCTCTCCCGCCCTCCCGCTCCCCGCTCTCCCGTTCTCCCGCTCTCCCCCGCTCTCCCGCTCTTCCGCTCCCCCCGCTCTCCGCCCCCCCGCTCTCCCGCTCTCCCGCTCTTCGCGCCCCGCCTCTCGCCCTCCCGCTCTCCCCCTCCCCCGCTCTCCCGCTCTCCCGCTCCCCCGCTCCCCCTCTCCCCGCTCTCCCGCTCTCCCGCTCTCCCCTCCCGCTCTCCCGCTCTCCCGCTCTCCCGCTCCCCCGCTCTACCGCTCTCCCGCTCTCCCGCTCTCCCGCTCTCCCGCTGCCCCGCTCTCCCGCTGCCCCGCTCTCCCGCTCCCCAGCTCCTCGCCCCCCCGCCTCATGCTCCCTCGATTGCCTCCGAAAGCAAAGCTGCGTGCAATAACATCCGAATGATTAACAGACGAACGAGATGCCGCAAAGAGGCGCGAGGTAGATCATGAGGGGGGGGGGGGGGGGGGGGGGGGGGGGGGGGGGGGGGGGGGGGGGGGGGGGGGGGGGGAACATTTATATATATATATATATATATATATATATATATATATATAATATATATAATATACACACAAAAATACATCGAAAGGGTAAACCCAAATGCAACACATAGCCCCCATACTTTTTTTTTTTGATTATGTTTTGGGCCATGTTTGTTTTTACAAAAAAACTGCGACGTACCCAGCCCACGTGCATCAAGTGGCAAGAGGAAGCATTAGCAGGAACAACGACAGTGTAGACGCGGCGATTTGCTGCGCAAGCTACATGGGATGCGCATGCGCTGCACGATTCACAGGGCGACGATCGAAAGAACGAGGCTTGAGGCCCCAGGATCGAAGAAGAACGGGCACGGGAACGAGGGGTAGGAGAGGGATGGAATGGAGGGCGGGGGGGGCGAAAGGCCATCGCGGAAGCAGCAGCATGCATGGAGAAGGTGAGGCGGGGAATAGGACGACGATGAAAGTGGCGGGAGGAGACAGAAGACTGCCGCGTTTTTCAAGTGCGAGCTAAACCCGCAGCGCTGCCTGCGCCATGTCGTCGCAGAGTTCCACATGATAAAACTTGTTTAGAGTGCAAGGAACGAGCGAGGCGTAGCTCGCCCGCTAGCTTCTCCGCCTCCTTCCCGCACATTTCAGCGCGGGAGCTGAACGCTCGCAGGCGCGCCGCCAGGTCTGCGGGCGGCCCGCGGGAAAGAAACTCAAGGCCGGGGTCGCGCATCATCAATCGGTTGCCCATCGTCCAAAGTTGCACTGGCGACGTACTGGCTGAACGCGGGGCGAGCAGCATCGCGCGCGTGCCTCAGCGCCACGCAGGTACAGTGCACGCGCGATTGGGACTTCAGGTCGATCACGCGCGTCTTCTGAGGATCTCACTGCGGTCTGCCATGCTGCTGTCCGCGAATGCAATGCGTGTGAATCAACGTAACGTGTAGTTGTGAGAGGCAAAACTGATATGAAGCAGGTATAGAAGCATCACAACGCCTTCCGTCTCCTGCTCCTCCACCCCATCATCCTTTCCTCACCCCTCGTCCTCTCCCACCCTCCCGTCCCCCGCCCTCCTCATCCCTTCTCTCAGCCCCTTCACATCATCAACATCATCATCACCAGCATCAGCACCATCATCATCATCACCATCATCATCATAGTCATCATCCGCATCATCACCACCCCCATCAGTGTCATCATCATCGTCATCGCCAACAGCATCGACATCGGCATCATCATCGTCATCAGCAGCATCATCAGCAGCATCAGCATCAGCATCTGCATCCTCATCAGCATCATCATCAGCATCCGCCTCATCATCGTCATAGGCATCAGCATGGTCATCGGCATCGTCATCGTCATCAGCATCATCATACCCCCCCCCCCCCCCCCCCCCTCCTCATCGAGATCGCTCATCCATATCCCCTCCATCCACCACACCTCGCCCGTCCTCCTCCTAGTCTCCTCGTCCTCATCGTCGCCCTCCTCCTCCTTCTCCCCTCCTCCTCCTCCTCCTCCTCCTCTCCTCCTCCTCCTCCTCCTCCTCCTCCTCCTCCTCCTCCTCCTCCTCCTCCTCCCCCTCGTCCTCCTTCACCTCCTCCTCCCCCTCCGCCTCCGACCCCTAGCGCGGCGCGGAACGCGGGTGGTACAGACGCCGAACCCAGTGGCCAGGGGAACGCATTCCCCTCTTCCCCCTCGTCCTCTTTCTCGTCCTCCTCCTCCTTTTCCTCCTCCTCCTCCTCCTCCCCCTTTTAACTTTACCTCCTCCTCTTCCTCTTCTCATATTCTTGATTCAGGTGGTCCGACGCTTGGCTATGATATGTCATGGCATGCGTGGTATGATACGGCATGCCATGCTGTGCTGTGCTGCACGCTGCGTATGTCTTGGTACGCTAAGTTTGTTGCCATGCTGGGCAATGCTGTGACAGGGTGGTACGCTATGCTACCATGCTGGGCAATGCTGGACATATGCGATGATAGGATGGCACGATATGCGACGCCGCGCCCATCTGAATGCAGGGCAAACGCACAAGAGGGCGCACGCGCGGCTTCGCCGCTTCAAACCGAGCACGCGGGTACGCTGCCTGCGCGGACCGCTCGAATTAAAAATTGATGCGATGAAACTGTGACTTCTTCAATTTCGGAAGCCACGTGAATGCTGGGTGGCGCCTGTATTGGGGCCGAGTATTCTTCGGGTGGTTGGGCCGACGTCCGCGCTCAGAGGGTTGGCCCATCAGCCTGAAGATACCTCCCATGTCACCCCTCCTCCCCCCCTCCTAAGCCCAGTGGGCGCATGGAGGGAGGAGGGGTATATTTAAAGTCCACCCCATCTCCCCAGTATCCCCAGGCCGACGGGCCCAAGCCTCTGCCCCCGAGCTTCGGCCCCGCTGCTGAACACGAATGGGCGCCAACCTCACGGCTGGAATCAGGTCGTCATCAGTAACAATGATCAGACCGTTCTTAAGTGCCAGCGTCGCCAGCGTAGCATCTGTTCCAGCATGTTTCAAACGTATCCTTGCAGTCTCGATCTCCTTCCAAATCCTCTTCTGTCGCCTCTCCTGTGGCGCATCATCCCACACGCTGCAGACCGCGAACAGATCGGCCGCCATCGCGCCGACTCTGTCGGCCAGGCCGCTCTGGAGGCTCTGGGCGGCGGGAAAGATGGCGTCCTAAAATGGAGGGGCTCGGACGGGCATCTCTGGGCCCGAGGCGGCCTGAGGGCGATGGCTGAGGAAACGATGATGGCGATAACGTCCACCACTGCCCTTCGCGAAGCGGCTGCAGTCCCCGAGGATGGTCCAGATGGTTTCCTTGTGGTCCAACTTGTGGGGGGCCCCTGGGAGGGCCCTATCACGCTATCACGGCTGGACCCGCCACGAAAGTTGGTTCGAACGCGCCCCGCGCGACAACGTTCGGCGACGAAGAGGGCGACGCGGCGACGCGGGAAACCACGGCCGCGCCCAGCAGTGGGGTGAGCGATGGCGAGGGGATGAGGGGATAAGGAGATGAGAAGTACGAGAAGGGAAGCCACTCATCTAAGTATTATGATGGCCAGGGAAAGGAAAGGGGGCGGAGGAATGTGAGGGCCCAAATGTTCTGACGCAAGCGTTGAAAATAACGCATCGATATGTCGATATGCACAGTGTGCTGTGCCAGGCCGGCTGCGCCACGGTGACCGCCATGCATTGCTGGCCCCGCGCGCAATACTATCATCCGCGGCGCGGCCAAGCCAAACGAGAAACAGATGACACGGATGGCGGATGCCGAGCGCCGAGCGCTATGTCGAGATATCGAGTGTCGGTTTCAAGTTCATCTCGCGTTAGCCATTCCTTTCGAGAACCCGAGAACCCGAGAACCGAGCTGAGCGCATCGCTGGCGCGGCCCCGTCGGCCCCGTCGTCCATTGGACGACTCGTCCAAGCCCAGACGGCGTGGGGCCCTAGCGAAGGAGGTGCTTGCCTGCTTTCACAAGCACGGGGTCGAGCGAGATCGGCCCGCCACCAGCAGCGCTTGCTCCGTCAGAGCCACCGTCGCCGCCAGCGGCCTGCTTCGAAGCTGCTGCAGCGGCTGCAGCGGCGGCCAGCGCAGTCTTATAGGCGGCGACGCCGAAACGTGGCGCAAGCTTCGCGGCGCCAGGGGCGTGCTGCTGCCTGCGCTTCCGCACAACACCAGCTTCGCCCGACAGGGCCACACGGGTGGGCTTAGTCTCACATGTAATCGGTGCGTCCGTCGTGGACGGCGCAGGCTTCAACGCTGGAACCTGGAAGACCCTCCTCATTCTCCTCTATTCCTCCTCGTCTTCCTTCTCCTCCCCATCCTCCCTTTTCACATGCACCTCCACCTCATCCTCGTCCTATCTTCCTCCTCCTCCTCCTCCTCCTCCTCCTCCTCCTCATTGTCCTCCTCCTCCTTATCCTCCTCCTCCTCCGCCTCCTCACCCTCATATCCTATTTCTCCCACCCTTCCTTGCTCGTTCAAACCGATTTGACAAAAAAACAACTCTCCTCCTGCTCCTCATCATCATCCTCCTCTTCCTCCTCATCCTTCGCCTCCCCCTCATCTTCATCAGCATCGCCATCACCATCGCAGCGATGGCCCTGGTGCCTTCAAGGCGAGGCGCTGCTGCGACATGAACTGGCTCATGCCCGTCTTCTTCTGCTGCGGCGCCTGCGCGGACGTGTTCAGCTGCAGGTCGTGCCAATAGATCTCCATGGCGGGGTCATTCTCGACGACCTTGACCATGTAGGCGGGGACCGCGATCTCCGAGAAGAGCGACGCGTTCCCGACCATGTAAAACGGGACGCCGTAGAGCTCACCGAGCTTGATGCCGTCCTTGGGCGGGTTAGTAGTGACCGAGCCAGCGAACGGCAAGCGCAGATCATCATTCGTCAGGTCGATTTCCAGCGTCGGGTCCTTGGCACGAAAGTTGATGCTGATGTTCCCCCAGTGCTGGGAGAAGCTCTTGTAGTAGTTCCACACCTGCTTCTCGGCCTCCGCCTCGATCATCTTGATGAAGGGCAGGTCGACCTCGTCAGCCGCCATCCTGAACCTGTAGAAACTCGCAAGGTTGACAGTCTCGGTCGCGAGCACCTGAACCTCCTTCGCCATCTTGGGCGCGTCGGGCTCACGCTCGGGCCCAGGCTGCTTGGATCCACCGTCGCAGGCAAGCACGCCGCCGTCGCCCTCGCCGCCCTTCGCCTCCATCTTGACCTGGAACTGGGACAGCTGGCCATTGCTGCCCTGAGCTGCGCCCGCGCCAGCGTCAGAGGTAGTCGCGGCATCCGTGTTGGCCACTGGGCTGTGCTTCGTGATGTCCTTCAGCGCGTGCTGGTTCCTGCGCATATCATTCAATAACGTCGACCACCACTCCGTCTGCTTCTCCTTGCCCGCCAGCTGGATGTCGTGCGACCCTGCGTTCTCGATGCAACTCGTGAGGTCGCTGCCGACCTGCGCAGTCAGGTTAGCCAACTCTGCAGCGTCGATGGAGTTCACGGTGGCGCCAGGCTTCCCGATGGCGAAAGCAATCGCTTGCATGATCAACCTGGCCCGAAACGAACCGAAACGTAAGACCTCTTGTGTGTTCTCCCATATCATGGCCACGCTGCACGGCACCCTCCCTAGCGCCAACACCTCCCTGGCGATGTCGGCCCACTCGGAGGGGAACGCGTGCTCGGCGACGGAGATGCAGTAGTCGAGGATCTGCTCGATGGACAGGTGGCCGACGAGGTCGGCATCGGTCAGGATCCTGAAGAGGGCGCTCTGCGAAGCAGGGTGCTGGGCAGCCCCGCCTGACTTCAACTGGATCGCGAAAGCCTTGAGGGCGATGAACTGCCCCTCGTCGTCGATGAAGGTGGCCATCTTCGCGGAGATGATGTGCCGATCGCTGTCAACGCTGACACCCGCGGCAGCGCTCTCTCTCTGACGATTGCCGCTGCTGCCGCCGCCCTTCGAGCACACCTCCCGATGATCGACCAACATCTGCTTCAACATCTGGTGCAGCGAAGAGAACCCCGTGACGTTCTTGCCGTGGACGGTAACAGAACCCGCCCACACGAACTCCAAGCATGCCGATGAACAAAACGCCACCGTGCTAGACGATCCAGGCTCAGACGGCATCTCGGGGGTTGCAGAAGAAGCCAACAAATAGCCAATCACGTCGATGGCGGTCGAGTTATCGCCTCGGGAGGTCGAGAGAGCGCAGCCAATCAGATATGGAACCGAGGACCAAGACTTGGGCCCTTGTCTTGGCCCCGCCCCTCAGGAGAGGGCCAAGACAAGGACAATGACCTAAGTCTCGGCACCCTCGGCCCCGCTCGGAAAGACCGAAGGCTGAGGCGAAATTGAGGCGGCAAATATTTCTGAGAGCCGCTGGCCGATCTTCTGCATGATGTGCTTCTCAGCCCCAGACTGCGCGGGGTCGCCCATCGACGTGATCTTCCTGCGCTTCGACCCCTGGCCTGCCTTCTGAGTGCTATCCTTCTCCGTGCCCTTATCGGACTTCTCCTTATCCTGATCCTTACCCTTGCCCTTGCCGTCGCCGCCGCCCTCCGCCTGCGCGATCTGGGTCAGCACCTTCGCGCCCTTGAGGGGGTAGGACAGCAATTCTAGCAAGCACTGGTGGCTGATGGGCGACTTCGGAGCAAAGACCCACGGGGTGCTGACGTCGTCGTCGTCGCTGGCCAACGGCGCAATGAATTTCATGGCCTCGTAGACTAAGTTCGCGACGATCCTCTCTGGCACGGAGTCCTTCAGCCTATCGAAAGGCTTGTGAGCAAAACTTTCTGTTTTTTTGCTAATCGCGCTACGGCCCGAAGGTTTCGCACCCTCGTCGCGGGCGCCCTGCGCCATGTCGAGTTCCGGCCGTCTCGGTGCCAGCCTGGCCCCCGATGTGTTTCCGAGAGCCACGGGGAAGAGCCATCGGATGGGCCCCAGCCCCAGGAACCCCAAGATGGCCAGATGACCCCAAGAGTCTTAAGAGGGCCCATGACCCAACGCGCCCCCAAGACCGAAGAGAAAGCAAACCCTAAACGGGGCCCTGGGCGCCGTTGACGACGGCGCGAAACCTTTTTTTTTTTTTTTTTTTTTTTTTTTTTTTTTTTTTTTTTTTTTTTTTTTTTTTTTTTTTTTTTTTTTTTTTTTTTTTTTTTTTTTTTTCCTATGCTAATCACGCCAAGCAGTGGCGTGATAGCCGTGGCGCGATTAGCAAAAACCAGAAGGTCTTCCTCCATGTCCGTCCATCTCACAGGGCAGCTGGCCTGTTTATGATGGTCTTCGCCACGTCGTGCATGTTGCCGATGACGGCATGGATCTGGAAGTCTTTGTTCAAGTAGTCGCAGTATTCGCCCATGAGGTCGCTCACCTGGTCCTTGATGCGCATCTTGACCAGCTTGTCACCAAGGCGGCCAGCCTTCAAAAACTTGTTGTTCTGCCCCTGGAAGTGCACTGCTTTTGGCTGGTCTTTCAAAAAATCCACATCTTCGATAGGTATCCATCCTCCTCCTGGTCACCGCTGCGCTCGACCATCCCAGAGTCGAACGCGTGAGCAGCCCACATCGCTCGAAGCTCAAGGGCGTCATTCACAACCTCATCGAATGTGATCTCGCTGCCACCGTGGAACCTGTTGTGGTAGGTCTTCATCCACTCCTCGTGCTTGGGATCGATGTCGGCGTCCAGCAAGATCACGTTCCGAAAACCATTCTCCTTGGCGTACTTCACGAACTTGTTATCCTTGTGCTTGACGGCCATGGGGTAGAACGTGTCGCAGATGCGGGTGCCCCACGTAAGCGCCCAGTAGGGCGGCACATTTCCTTTCGACAGCTTGAGCCACATGGAGCCCGTGACGCCGCCAGTCACGATGCCATTCATGAGGAAGCTCTTGGCATAGGCTCGCGACGCCGTCATCTGCTTGCGCTGGTTGACCTTCGCGCGGAAGATCTGCTGCTCGCCATTGACGTCGTAGGGCATGACCTTCCGATCCAAGCCCTTGACCTCCCACCTGGCGATCACCCAGTCCAGGCGCATGGAGCCCTCGAGGGTCGCGAAGCAGTCCTGCGACAGAGAAGGAATCAAACTTGTTTTCAACGAACTGCATTTTCCTGGAAAATACAGTTCGTTGAAAACCAGCTTGCACACGGGTGGTGGCGTGGGGGACAGGGCCAGGGACTGCTTTACCAGACCGCCGTTTTGAAACTGAAGCGGTCGGCATAGCATGGCGAATCATTGTTACACGATTTTGAATGTCAAACGCCTCGCGAGACGTCGGCCCCCCTGGGGCCTGCAAGGCCAGCCCACGAAGGCTCGGCAATCCGTGGATATCCCGTCCACAGATGTGACCTGGAATGCCGACCGCGTGACCTGGAATACCTGCATCATCGTCGTCATGCATGTGCTGATATCCACATCGCCCTCCTCCCCCTCCTCCTCCCCCCCGTCCTCCCCCTCCTCACCCCTGTGGTTTGTTTTACCGCATCGGCTTGAACAAAAAACACCCGTCATGCCCCTAGGGCTGCGGGGATCAGGAAGGCCAGAGCGAGCACGGTACAACACGGGGAGGGAACACGTTTGAAAAACAGTTGGCCTTGATGGCGCCCTTGCAAGAGGCGCGACCAAACGCTAGATTTTCCCCATGGCAAACGCCCGTCCTGCGCCAGAGGCCGACTGGGCGACACCGACACTGGCACGGCGGGGCCCGCTGCTGATGAGTGTGGTTGCGCCCCGCCAGTTGGCTGACTGCCGCTCGCAGCCGCTGACCCTGCCCCAGACGACGACCCGCCACTCGATGGTGCAGGGGCGATCTGGGTCTGCTGGAGCTGCTGCATCGCCGCCGCCGCCGCAAGCAGGGCATCTGGCGTGGCGCCCTGCATCAATGCTTTCAGGGCCGCCTCCATGCCAGTCCAGGGCTGGAGGAGGAAACCAATGCGCTGCACTGCCCAGACGCAGTCACCACAACAAGCTAAAACAGCTAGGCCGATTATGAAGCCGACGGTGATGCTCATAAGATGTGGGGCCATAGCACGATGAACTCACCACGATGAGGGGTCTTAGTATGAGGAAGGTCATAGCCAGCATGGGGGCAATATGGTCATATTATGAGGGGGGTCATAGCCAACATGGAGGCAGCATGGTCATAATATGAGGGAGGTCATATCCAGCATGAGGGTGATCATCGTATACAGGGTGTCGTAGTATGAGGGGGGTCATAAACAGCATGATTCATATTATGAGGGAGGTCATACGCAGCATGAGTGATATCATCGTATGAGGGGGGTCATAATATGGGCGCCGTATCCAGCATGAGGGTGATCATCATATGAAGGGGGTCACATTGTGAGTAAGGTCATAACCAACATGGTGGTTATCATCAGATGAGGGGGTCCGAGTATGAGGAAGGTCATCGCCAGTATGACGATGGTCATCGTATTAAGGGGTGCGCCGTATGAGGGTGGTCGTAACACGTACGATTGTGGCATGTGTCAATGCGAGGGGGTTCATAAAGTAAGGGAGCATGTAGTGTGACGACGCTTGTGATTCACCCCTCAGATTGTGAGGGTCATCATAATTTCCATGATATTGGTTATGATCGCTGTCATACTAGGCACGCGTGTCGGTATCAGGCGAATCATATACACCTACACGTTAGGACGTTGTTCATATATTTACGCTTGACTCTGCGAGGTTGCTCACACGATTCGCCTTCGGTCCCAGGGTGACCGCCAACATGCTAAGACTCTGCTCACACCCAGCCTTCTCACTCAGATGGGTCTTTGTGAACGGCCTCACACCGAGCGGGCGAACTCTGAAGCCCGTCAGCCCCACGCAGTGCAGCAGACGTTGCGAGGAAAGGCGCCCGTATGAGGCACGCCGCCCCCCCTCATAATACACATGCCGTCTCTGGGCATTCAGGCCACGGGGCTGATTTGGAGAACGGGCGCATGCGAGCGAGGGCGAGGGGGCGCGGGAGAGACGGAGGGATTGGATCGGAGATGGCGATTGATCAGATGACGATGTGTGCATGTCTGTTGCAGCAGCCCATCGCTGCCATCATGTATGCGTGCAGTTCGCGGCCCTTCGGCCGTCCATCACGTGAAACTAGTGAATCAAGGCCGCGCAGACAGCGCGGTGCACAGGTCGCAAACAGCAAGCTCGCCAGGGATCGATCATGCAACCTGCACTGGTGGGCCGAGGAGGCCGCCGCGAACAGCACGCGCAGCCAAGCTTGCAACGCAAGCGTAGTGCCAGCTGCGTTGGCAGATCGGGCACGCGAACGGCTCGTGACCTGAGCGGTCGAACGTACCGCACAAGGCGCAATCTTGCGCAACTGGCAATATGGTCGCATGCCGCCATATGCCGATCAATTTCAGCAACCTCTCGTCGACTGACGGCCTCTCTTTTTTTTTATCTTTCTCAGCGCATGTGCCAACTGCAGTCATCAGGATTTTGCAATGATTGAAATACCGAGGCTTGGTCAGAGGCAAGGGCCACACTACTCTGTTGCGCACGTCCAGGTTCACGCAGCTGCCGCGCATCGCCACGCCCCCCTCATACCAATGAACCAACGTGGGCCTCACATCTGCAGCATCCCCAGGGCCCGCTGACTCCCTCGGCCCTGCGAGGGCCAGGGATAGCTCTCCTCGGTGGCCGACGGGGTTCATGTTGCTCGCGTGCTCTGCCCACGCAAGCACCTCCATCATGTCCGTAGCATGTGGCAACCACTCCCCGAACACGTCGAGCCACCCCTGGACGCCGTCATCGCGGTCACCATCGTCTAGCCACGCGTCCAGCACCATGTCGCGATCAGCATCCTCTCCTGCGTCGGCATCGCCATCGGGCAACTCCTCGGGGTCGACCATCCCAGTGTCCAGCAAGTGCTTGACGTCGCCTCGCTCCTTCTTTTCGGCCTGCTCTGCAGCTACCTGGTCAATGACATCTTCCAATTCAGCCTCCAGCTCATCATCGTCAATGCGGTCGGCAGCTTCAAGGATGAGGGCAGCCGCTGCTGCATCGTCGCCAGCATCAGGTACGCCGTGTCCTCCTGGCTCGCCATGCGCCCCAGCGGCCCCGGCGGGAGCTTCTGGAGCGCCGTCGACGATGGCAGGCGCAGGATGGACATCGGTAGG